GGCACGGGACCAGCCCAGAAGGTAGCTTTGGAAGAGAAGGCCCTTAGTACTTGTGGGGCAGCCAGTACCAGCCCACAGCAGAGGGCTTCTTGGGATCCCCATAACCCCAAGGGTCAATGCCTCTCAATCTCCACAGTCTTGGGCCCAGTCCCTTACCCCTTCCCTGTCTCCCACCCAGCCCAGTCAGTGTTTTGGTGTGTATTCTTCCAGATCTTTTACTTCCCTAAATTGAAGTGTGCGTGCATGTGTGCATGTGTGTATGTGTGCATGTGTGTGTGTCTACAGGTATTCAAATAAAAGTGGACATTCTAGGGCTGGGTGTTTGACTCTGTGGCTGAGGACCTGCTCAGCATGCACAAGGTCCTCGGCAGGACCATATGTACATGGTACCCTGAAGTCTGCTCATCACGTGACACTTTCTACACCAGGTGCACAGAGCCGCACACTGCCCTGCCCCCTGCTGCTTTGCTCTGTTCGCTCTGTGCTTTGCTGAGTTGGTCCTGTCCTGGGTGGTGCTTGGGCGGCTTCTGGCTTTTTGGAGACTGTAACAACCGTTCTCAAACAGTCCCCTGTCCTGCACCAGGGGTCTCAGGGGGAGATTCCTGGAGGTGAATGCCACGCTCTGGTCTGCTTCTTCCAATGTGTGGCCACTGTGGGTCTCACTGTCACCTCAGATGACTAAATTTTCCTGGACAAAGGGAAGTTCTCCCAGGGTTAGCACCCTGCTCTGTGCCCTCGAATGCTGGGAGACTGGAAGACACCATCCTTGTCTCTGGGACACTCTTCACCCTCCCAGGACTCTCCAGGCGCTCTGGTCAGCTTGTGGCTAGTCCCCCAAGGACTCACATGTCTGAGGCTTGGTCCCCAGGGCGGGGATGGGAAGGGATGGAAACTTCTAGTGAAGGACTCAGGGGATACCCTTGGAGGCCCTGACCTCCCCAGGGGGTGTTGGTCTCCCAGAGTGAGGCTTTTGGTTTTGCTTGGTTTTACAGAACCAGAGATTTATTTTTATTTTTTTGCCGTACCGGGGATTGAACTCAGGCCTTTGTGCTTGCCAGGCAAGCGCTTATTCTACTGAGCCATCTCCCTGGCCCCAGAACCAGGGATTGAAGCCAGGGTCCCCTGCAAGCTAAACAAGCTCCACACCCTTGAGCCACCTTTCCAGCTCCTTGGAATAAGTTCCCCTCAGATCATGCTGTCGGAAGCCTGAGCCTGAACTCCTAGCTGCCTTCTGGCTCCCCATCCTGCCTTGTGACTCCGCCTCTCAAGCGCTCTCCTGCTCCTGGGAGAAGATCTGCGGCTGAAGTGCTCTTCGGAACCAGAACCAAGCCAGCACTGGGCTCTGTCCTGAACCCTTCAGAACAGGGAGCTCAAAACCCTCTTCTTTTCACAAAGCACTGGGCCTCAGGTTCGTTCTTTCTTTCCTTCTTTCTTTTTTCTTTTCTTTCTTTCTTTCTTTCTTTCTTTCTTTCTTTCTTTCTTTCTTTCTTTCTTTCTTTCTTTCTTTCTGCAGTGCTGTGCTCTGATCCTCTGTCATGTACACCACCAAGTTGTACTCTAGGACCAAAAGGCATTTTGTTACAGTAATGACAAGCAGGCTCACGCACCGTCTCCACGTCCACTCCCAGACCCTGCTCAAGAAGTCTTCACTATTTCAATCCCCAGATTGCTAAAATAGCTTGATTTACTCCAGCAGTCTTACCAACCTGGCTTCCTCATCAGGCACAGATCCTGCAGGTTGGGATATAGCTCAGTGGCAGGGCGCTTGCCTAGCAGCAGAAGGCCCTGGGTTTGAGCCCCAGCATTGGACAAATTAATTAATTAATTAAACACAGATTCCAGGAAGATAGGATTTGGACCTAAAGTTCATTGCCTTAGTATATACAGACTGATCCTACAGGTATAAGTATTTATAAATTGTTTTGTTTTTCTACTTTTTTGAGTCAACATCTTACTCTGTAATTCAGGTTGTTCTTAAACTCACTATGTAGCCCAGGCTGGCCTTGAACTTAGGGCTATCCTCCTGCCTTAGCCTCCTGAGTGCCGGGATTACAGGAATGTGCCAAGATATTAGTTGTTATTGTTATTGCTATTATTATTATTTTGTACCTGGGTTGGAACTGAGGGCCTCAAACGTGCTAGGGAGGTGCTCTGATAAGCTGTACCCTGAAGCCCTTTTATTTTATTCCGAGGCAGAGTCTCACTAAATTGTCCCAGCCTTGACTTTGCAACCTTCCCAGTTCAGCCTCAGGACCACAGGCGTGCACCCCACTGGCACGCTCGCCATAGGTGAACGCATGGGAGGGAAGAGTCTGTCAGGTGGAGGGGAAAATGCTGGGGAAAGCGACTATGTTCTTGTGGCGCTGCTCAGTCTGACCCAGGAGTGGCGCCTCAGGTCTCGGTGGTTCTCAGATTGGGCCCCTCCCCTCAGAGCAGATGCCTCACATCTGAAGCTCCCCGGCCTGGTCGATTTGGCCACAGTTACTGACTGCTGCCAGCTCCTAAGGACCAGTTTGCAGGCCCCAGGGATCTCCATTGTCTGCTGCCATCTGTGGCCGGAGCAGGAGGTCTGAGGGCCTAAGAGGGGACAGGTGGCTTGGCTGGCACGTCTAGACACCTCCCGGGGATGGTCAGCGCTGGCCCCAACTGCTAGCCCCAAAGGCTCCGGAGAGGTGTACATCGAGCGTGCCCATCAGCGCTGAGGCAGGATCTTGCCAGGGCAGGCCGGATCCTGAGCCAGGGACGGCCCTGGCTAGCTTTTCTCTTGGTCCCATGCTGCAGTTGTACTTCCAGCCTGGAGCTCAGGAGAGGCTGGAGCTGCTGTCTCGCTCTCCCCTGAAAGCCAAATATGTGTTCTTCACAGGCCTTGGCATAGTAGTAGGCACTAAGGAAATATTTACTCAGCGGCCAAAGGGATGAACACTCACCCTCTTCTAGGGGAGGCTGCCCGCATTGTAACAACAGTCCAGTCGGAATGAAGCGTGAGCAAGCTACACCTGTATCTGTGCACTCGGGCTCCCCTTCAGGATTCCCCAGGGATCCCAAGGGGAGGGCAGGCTTCCCCCAGCCCTGCCCCCGAGTTCCTGAACCTCTAAACTGTGCTACTTCCAGTGTGACTCGAGCGCTGGAAGCACCAGGGGCAGTGGGCTGCTTGTGAGAGGCGCAGCCTCTCCAGCCCCACTCTGGACCTCAGAATCAGAATCTGAGCAGCTCAAGAGCCCAGGGGCGCTGCGCCCATGTCACCTGGGGACAAGGGACACCCGGCGCTGAGGGAGTGAACCTTGCTCGAATGAGGCAGAGAAGTGCGGCTTACTACACGAGGACCTCTGCCTACCTGGATGACTCAAATTACTGAGTCATATATTTTCTGTCTTTCCAGTCCTTAAATACCTCCTGGAACATAGCAGGCACTCACTAAATATTCAATGCATGAACGCTGAACAAATCTTAGGCTATTTTTTTCAATTTAAGTGCTTAAGGTATGCTGGACCTCGGCTTCTGGACACAAATTGCAAGTTATCTAAAAGGATTATTTTGTTCCCAATAACGCCTCCTGGAAGAAGAGCTATTGTCTAATGAGTAATAATTGTCTAATGAGTGCCAGGCCGGTGCTTGGCATGCTGCAGACCTGTTCTCAGCGCTTCATGAAGTGCGGTCTGTGGCCAAGGGCACCCAGAAGGACACAGCACTGGGTGTGGCGGGGCACGCACGCAATCCTACCTATTTAGGGGGCTGAGACAGGAAGATCTCGAGGTTGAGGCCAGCCTGGGAATGACCCTGCTCCAACATTTTAAAAGCAGGCTGGAGATGTAACTCAGGTGTACAATTTAATCCTCACAATGAAAGAGAGGGAGAGAGATAAAGACAGACAGACAGATATAATCTTATTAAAAATACAGACCTTGGGGTCCTGTCCCAGACCTGCCCCCGGAGAACTGTTGATAAGGCCCAGAAACGGGCACATGAAAATGTAGCAATGACTGTGTCCCTAGTTTATAGGGCAGGAAATGGGGAGCACAGAGAAGTGGCTTGAACAAAGCCAAGAAGCCCATGAATGGCAGAGACAGGATTTGAACTCAGGACTACCCAACTCTGGAGTCCATAGTTTTAATTTTATTGTCTATTACTCTGGCAAAACTGATGTTCAGGCTATTTCTATTTAGCCATATGTAAAATGTTGAGCATATTTCACTTGTGAACAAAGTCTGCTGCTAGGCTGAACTCTTTGCACTCAGTATTTTTATTTTCCTCAGAGTCCATAGCATCCTGGGCCAGGGAGATGGCTCAGTAGAATAAGCGGCTGGCAGGCACAAGGTCCTGAGTTTAATCCCCAGTACAGCAAAAAACCTAAACAAAGAAACAAACAAACACCCCCAAAACTGTAGCATCCCTTAGCATGCTTAACATATAGAATTCCTTTTTTTTTTTTTTAAATATTTATTTATTTTTATTTATTACATTTATTTATTGTGTGTGTGT